TTTTCTTTCACCCAAAAAGTTGAAAAAGTACCATTAGCTGAGTTCTTATTACTGAATTCCTCAAAAAAGCACATGACAGAAAATAAACTTGGGCAGAAAAACTTGCATTTCTGGTGTCTAATATAGCTCCCAGCTCTTGGTAAAAACTGTACTGAATAAATAAGTGGTTGAGGGCGTTAATCTGTGTTCCTTGACTTGCAGGAAACTGTTTTAACATTAAGAAAAGAATTCATCCTGAAAATGACAGCCAAAATGTGATGTAATAAAGAATAGATCTGGTTTTAGCTCTCCATTCCTTGCACCGAGCTTGAAAAACCCTCTGAATTTCCTAACTGATGGCCATTTGTCTTTGTTATGCTAATGAGGAAACTCAAGGGAGAGGCTGGCCACACCAAAAAGAACAAGGTTGTATAGGGTTGGACCTTCTAGCCCTACTTTCCATTTCCAACCTCCAGAGAGGGAAGAGAGATTGAAGCCAGAGTTCAATCATAGTCACTGATTTAATCAATCATGCAAATGTAGCGAGATCCCATGTGGAAACTCTGGACACCATGCTTACTGGAGCTTCCTGGCTGATGATCTTACTGATGTCCTGAGAGAGTGGGATACCCTGACTCCATGTGCTCAGAAACCCCCGACACTTTGCCTTATGTATCTGTTCAGCTGGCTGTTCATTTGTATCCTTTATAATAAAATGGTGATCATAAGTATAGGGCTTTCTTGAGTTCTGTGAGTCATTCTAGCAAATTTTCAAACCTGGGAGAGTTGTGGGAAGCCTTAAATTTGTAGTCATCCAGGCAGAAATGGAGGTGGCTTGGAGACACCTGAAATTTGTAGCTAGCATTTAAGTGGATCGGTCTCTTGAGACTGAGCCCTTAACTTCTGGAGTCTTCATTAACTCTGGATAATGACAGAATTTAATTAAATTGTAGTACACCCAGTTGGTGTCAGAACAAGAAAAATCAGAAGGAACACTGATGCATCTTGAATATCTGCAGAGAAGTTTCTCTGATATGGATCAATAAAAAAAATTAAACATTGTATCTCAAAAATCATGGATTTTATGAGATAGCTATATATGAGCAAGAGCAGGGGAGGGGCAAAGAGAGAGAGGGAGACAGAATCCAAAGCAGGCTCCAGGCTCTGAGTTGTCAGTGTAGAGCCCAATGCGGGGCTCAAACTCACAAGCTGTGAGATCGTGACCTGAGCTGAAGTTGGACACTTCACCAACTGAGTCACTCAGGTGCCCCTGGATGAGATTTACATTTAAACTGGTGGACTGTGAGTAAAGCGGATTGCCCTCCAGAATGTTGGTGGGTCTCATCCATCAGCTAAAGGCCTGGATATAAAAAAGACTGACCTGCCCTGAGCAAGAGGGAATTCTGCCAGCAGACCACTTTCAGATTTCAACTGTAATGTTGGTCAGCAATTTGCCTGGGACTCCAGCCTGGTGGCCCACACAGTGCATTTTGGACTTTCCATATTCCCTAATTGTGTGAGGCAATCTCTTAAAATAAATTTTGATCTCCTCTCTCTATCTATACACACACACACACACACACACACACACACACATACTAGAGATTCTGTTTTTCTGGAGAACCTTGACTAATACACTACCTCACCTGACTATTGTAAGAATTAAATAAGATAATGTATTGAGAATTGTGTAATTTTTAAAGCATTCTAAACATTTACTTTGTGAATTTTAAAGTATATAAACATAAATATGGTTTATAAAACATAAGTATGGTTAAGTCTACCTAGCACATGTAATGTGAACTGAACTTTGTTGAGGCTTTGTAGACATATAAGTTAATGTTTATAAATGTGATCTCAGATCAATGTTATAGATAAATGGATTTGAACTATCACAGAAGAATCTATAAAGACAGCAACAAGTAGGGAGAGAAGCCTACTGGATTCCTGTGCTGGAGTGTTTAGCATCTGCTGCTGTAGAATGTAAATACTATGGGGACTGGAAACCATAGTTTAGTTGGCTTGGTTCAACTGATGTACCATGTCTGGCACAGTGCTTTGCATAGTTGTTGTTCAGATAGTTGCTAAACAATAAGTGACTTTTATTTAAATGATCACCCAAAAAGTACAATTTTATAACATAAAGCACTTCAGCATATAGCAGGGAGGGTTAGAAAGTACCTATGTGTTGAATCTGGTTATGCCCTCTGAGGAGTTAAATGCCAATTAATCATGGTCTGTATATTAAAAAGCTGGAACTTTGGTGTGGTTTGGGGGGTAGGCCAAAGCCACAAACTCCGAATGCCTCCATAAACAAATTCATAGCCAGACTTCACTCTCTGAAACCAATCGCTTTGCTTTCTTGGACCTCTGCTGAACTTTGCATAATAGCAAGGTGCCAATGTACCTTGGAGGAAAAAAAATCAAGGCCACTATACTCAATGAATACTTTTAAATTCCAGAAGAGTAACTGAATGCTACTCAGCAGCATAGCAAACACTGCCCAGTGTCACTTGTCAGTTCAGATCTCTAGATGACAGTTCTTGTAGCAGTCAATGCTGTTGAACGCTGTTCTCAATTGCATTCACGTGCTTTACAACCTTATGGATTGTGGTTTCTGGGGACTGATATTTTGAGACTCAGTTGTGGAAGAATATGGTTGCTTTCAAAATATTCTAGGCAAAAGCTTCAGTCTGAGAAAAAAAGACTAGACTTCTAGTCTTCTTGGTATTTTGGGAAGTATGTCATCATAATGATTTTTCCAGTCTCCTCTGGGTATGGCCAATAAAGGAAGAACATTAAGACAGCCTGCCTTAAATTAAAACCACAGCAGCATAGTATTTTCCACTTTGAAAATTGGGGAAAAATAAAAATAATACCCAATATTACTGAGAATATACCCCTATACTGCTGATTGGAGGGCCAACTGTCAAAAAATAAGCAAACAAACCAACAACAACAAAAAAACCCCACAACAACAAAAATCTTAAAAAACATATATATCCTTTGACCTCGCAATTCCACCACTAAGAATGTATCCCAAGAAAATAATCTTACCTCTGCAATGATTTATCCATTTGCTTAGGTTAAACACAATGTTGTTTGTAAAAGGGAAAAAATAGAAATAAAACACATGTCTAATCATAGAGAATTGCCTAAAGGAATTTTACTACATCCATTTACGGAAGAGCATACAACTGCTAAAAACAAGGCTGCAGAGGGGCACCTGGGTGACTCGGTTGAGCACTGGACTCTTGATTTGGGCTCAGGTCATGATTTCAGGGTCATGGGATCGAGCCCAGTGTCGGTCTCCATGCTGAATGTGGAGCCTTCTTGGGATTCTCTCTCTCCCTCTCTCTTTGTCCCTTCTCTGCTTATGCACTCATGCTCTCTCTCTTTCTCAAAAATAAATTTAAATGCATGAATGAATGAATTAATGAATAAATAAATAGCTAAAATAAGGTTGTAGAAGAATATGTGCGCATGAATGATGACATGGAAATTTGTTCATAATCAAATATTAAATTAAAAAGCAGTTCATACAATGTTATATATAAAATAACTCTATTTTGTTTAAAAATCAAGCAAAAAAGTACGTTGTACATGGGCACAGAAGAAAAGGCTGGAAGACTATGCACTAAAGGGTTAAGAACAACACTCTCTGGATGGTGATTTTTAACCATCTCCTCTATGCTCCCCCTGGCAAATTTTATATAATAAATATTACATTAGCAATTGGAGTGGGGAAGTAGCTTTAAACATTTCAAACAAAATGAACAGCCAACAAAAACCTATGATGGACTAGGGTTTACTAACAGAAGAGCAAAACTTTTATAGTGCTATGATTAAACTCTGGCACATTCCAGGACTTTACATGCTAAAGCAGTTAGTTTAAAATGACTTATTTCAGCCCTGATGATACCGAACGGTCTCAAAAGTTTTTGCTGTTTCCATTTGTTATAAAGTATTTTCTACCCCCACTATGGTAAGCCTTGTACAGCGTGAAGTCCAGGAACTAATGCAAGAAAGTGGCCTGACACCTTCATGCAAACGTTAGCACACAGGTGCCACCTTGGAAATGGGAGGTTTCAGCCCGTTAGCCAGCTCTGTCCACGCCACTAAAATCTAAAACCGTGTCTGTGGAAAAGTAAATAAAGAGCTTGCAGCCTAGATCCCTACATAGACAGATCCATCAGTGGTTATTAACGGCAAGTTAGAAATGTCCGGGGCCAATCCTTAACCTCTGGGGAGTGATGATGTCATCTGTGACAGCACCCTGCCTTTTTTTCAAGTGTCCTTTGCTGTCCGTGCCAGAATGGGTTGGAAAGATCATCTTGTCTATTCATGTCAGCCATCTGCCACTAATTGATGCAGCTGGCTGGGTAGTGGATTTGAAATTTTAAAAAAGACTGATGGTGAAAATGGCTGCCAGGTAGATAGCTTAGTCTGAATGAGTGCCCATCATGTGAAATGTGACACTTTTCACCGTCTTTCTCCAGCTGTTCCTACATCGTAACAGGGAAAGAGCCAAGAATATATTTATTTTTCCCACAAATGAGTGAGTCAGAGATCCAGGCAAAATTAGGCTTCAACTTTAAATCCAAAAGTGTGCCATTAGTGGCAGGACAGGGAAGATAGTTCCAGTGTAACATAAAGCTAATCTCAGCAAATTCCCCTTGTAGCTGATTTAGCCTTCCCTGGATGGGTGTTTTGAATTACACAAATATAGCATACTCTAGAAAAACAACAGTGGCTGGAAGTCTCAGCACATAAGCCTCAGAAGGACAAGTCCAAGGAATAGCATTCTTGATAGTCTCCCATAGTCCTTTAAAAACCAGGAGTGAACCCAAGTTAACTCACCCTTATGCATTACTATTATGTCTATTCTCAGAGTTAAAAAAAAAAATCAAAGATTATAAAGCATCTTCCAACCAGAGATTCCCCAGGTACTTCCCCAGCCTACCATTCCTCCTGGAATGCAAATGGCCAGGTCACAGAACGCGTTAGCCTGGCTGACTCACCTTGCTGTTGCTGGTCTTCTGGAAGCTTCAGTTTACAGGTATAAAAACTGTTAAACAGGTGCCTGCTGTCTTTTCTCTGTGCAGTAGACATGGTGCTGGCAATACGGCTGTGGTTCCAGTATCACTAGGACATTTCCTTCCCCTGGTTAGTCACCTAAAATGGTCTTCACCAGACACCCAGAGCCACAGAGGTACATGCAGATCCTATCCTTGAGTGTAAAACATTTACTTCTCTAATAAACTTCCAAGTGCTTTCTAGTCATGATTCTTGAAATAAATATTGACCAATATAACTTCCCCTACATACAAAGATGCCAATTCATTTGGATAAAAGCACAGCTTAATTTGTCTTTCATTTCAAAGTACTTTGAAGCTTTCCCCTCTACAGTGTAAAATCCTACAAAGTAACTATTTCTAACCAATTACAGTTTTGGCAATGTTTTGACCCATCTGCTGACACGAAACCTAATGCCTCTAGTATTTCAAGAGGACTGCTAGAATAAGATACACAAAATTTAAAAAGTGCTGCTGAGTTAAATCCAGTGATTTCCAAGCCTGGTCTGAGTTACCCTCTGTGACAGCTGAAAGTGAACAGTTCTTAAAGGAAGCTGAAGGAGGAGGGGCCGAGGGAGCTAGGCTGATTAGCATAAAGAGGCAGGCAAGAAATGGCATTGGAGTTGCTCTGAATAATAGTGACCAAAGCAGGGATTCTAAAAAGATGCCCTGATGTTATAGTCACCACGTTTCTGACTTGTGCTACTTTGTAATTAGAACAAAAGCTCGAGGCAGGGGTTTATACTGCATGGATGTTCATTTGCACATGCAACATCTGAAGGGTATAAGCGGAACTGGTAATGAGCTCATGGAAATATACTGCTGGGACTTTCAGTTTCTGTAAACACCTCTGAGTCTTCAGAAGGGGGCAGTTATAGAGCAGCCTGCCTGCCAACGCAACTATTTGGAGTTCTGGAAGACAAATAAACACATAAAACATTATCTTCCCAGAAATCTACCTCTGATTCCCTTTAGACTCTCCATGTCTACTTCTAGGTCACAAAACAAAGAGATTTCCAGTGGTTTCTTGTGTTGAAATAGCATATTTCATTGAAATATTCATTGAAATAATAGCATAGTTAATTACTGTTTAAAAACAAACCCTAAACACCTTTCATTTAACTCAGAAGCTGTTACCCCTGAAATTGTGATGAACATTACTAGATGCTGCCCTTCAAGATTCCACAGCTCTTTGTAGATTCTGAACGGCGGTGGTGGGCCAGGATGAAGGAGAAAGGCAGAGTGCTTAGCCTCAAAGTCTGAGCTCCACAGCTTCCTGGGCGCACTTGGAAATTGGTGCTAAGCTTGAAAGCCTAACTAGAAGGTTACCTCTTTGCCGGATCTGGATGGGTGTTCTCCTTCCACTTTGAGGCGATGAACAATTCCCCAAACATACTCTGACTTATAAAAACCCTTGTGATATGTGTGATTGTTCTTCCATAACTGCCATGACTTATTAAACCACCTTTATTATTTTAATAGTCTACCTGTTTTGGGCCCCTCACAGTACAACAGGTTATAGAAGTATTTAGCTACTTTGAAAGAGATTCCAATTGTTAGAGAAACATAGTTTCTGCTTTAACGGTTGGCATTTATCTCCTGCTTCACAGCAGTCATGGCAGAAGGCTGAAGCATTTTCTTTCAGAGTGACATAAAGCTATCAACATTCTATCAAGTTGCGGACCTCACTGATAAGCATATTATTATATAGGTAAGTCAAATAACCCATAAAACTGTAAGTCAGCCCTTGAGAGAAATGGATTCTTTTAAAAAAAAGTTTTATAGTGAGAAATTTAAATATATATATATGTGTGTGTATATATATATGTGTATATATATGTGTATATATTTGTATATATACGTGTATATATATATGTGTGTGTGTGTGTATATATATATATATATATATATATATATATATGTATATGAATAGGTAGAAAGAATAGCATAATAAGCCCTATGTGCCCATCACTTGGATTTAATCATTATCAATAATTTCAAAACATTTTTACATTTTGTTCAAACTGGACCCAAAGGTCTACACATGGTCTTTGGTTGATATGTCTCATAAGCCTTTTTCACTGTGTAGGATTCTCTCTGAGAGAAAATATTGCATGGGGATTAATATCTTACATTTACCCTGATTTATGTCTGATTTTTCAAGGAAGCCCTTAGATGCCTCCATTCTTCTTACGCATGGATGTAAAGCTGGGGAGAAGGGGGAAAAGGAATGGTCAGCTGACCATAGAGGCTAAAACAGCTAACTTCTAGCCCTGTGCTCCATTAGTGGACTGTGTAACCTTGAACCAGGTACTTAACATCTCTGAGTTTGTGTCTTCATTTGTCAAATGAAACAAATGTTTGGTAAACAATGCAAGAGGTTATTCAATACTTATTCTGTGAATATAAAGACTTGAGAAAATAAGGAGATTCCTGTTTTGTCTTTGGCTATAGCCTGAGGAGAAAGAAATAGATTTAAAACAAAAAATATGAGTAGGATTTGGGAGTGTATCTGAAAATCTAGGCCCTTGATTTTCCAACCTGGCTGAGCACTGTAATTACTCTGGGAATGTCATAGAGATTCCTGACTCCCAGCTGCAGTGTTGGAGGTACGGGTGGTGTCTGAAATATATATATACATACATATATATATTTAAACATGGTTTATATTTTATATAAATATATGATTTTTTTTAGATGGAATATTTATAAAGTCCTCTTGTCCAGGTAAACATGCATAACCTACTTAAATAGTCTGCTTTGCTCATTCTTACATTCATTATATCTCTCCTGAGGGCTGATGACACCAAAACCAAGAATGCTTTAAACTTAGTTTCCAGTGCCACAACATTAGGGAATAGGGACAATCCCCGGGGAGACTTACTGCCTGGTTCCTCTATGTCCCACTGTTGTGCATTATTGAGTCAGCCCTGGGCAGTGACCCTGTGGTTGATTACTTGAGTTACAGAGACTCCTGGGTTCTTACACAGCATATCGAGTCACATTTCTGCTCTGGGAGGAGACTGTTTTGACTCACCAATTTCCACTGGAAAAAAGCCAGGATAGCTGAAAGTAATATGTAATAGGAATATGTAAAATAATATCAGCTCTATCAGCCATAGTTAGAATCAGTTATAATAAGCCATACCCTTATTTTTCAGAAACACTACCAAGTTAGTAGCTCATAATGGGCATATTATACTTTGCTTTTTGCTTGTAAATAAAAGCAAAGAGTCAGAGTGTAGAAAGTGAAGTCTGGTTGTGTCAAAAAACAAGTGAATAATATTTGGCATTTTTTACTTGCAATTTGATTAAAGATGAGTTAGAATTTCTATGAAACTCGAGCTTATTCCCTTACCAACTCGCTGTGATGTCAAAAAGATGCCACTGTTGAATGGCATGTTACAGGTAAATAATTGATCTTCTCAACGACTGCATTTGGGATGGATACTGGGAAAAATGATATTTTATGATTAGAACTTATAGCTCAGAAAGCATAGTGCTTGGTTAAATAATATGAATGGTCCTAAGTTTATAGGCGAGTTTTCTTTTTTCAGTTGAACCATATTTAAGAAGCAGGAACATATGCCTTGGACATTAGTATGCAAGTGAGTTATTTAATTAATAACCTGCCTTGTTTCAAAAGTGTTTATGATAGTGTATATCTACTCTTTGAAAGTGTTCAGAGTGCTTTGAATGACAAGTATAAGTAAAAAGCAGCAGTATTACATTTATCACTCTTATCCTCAAAGAATAGGATAAAAGACCCCTAACATGCAAACATGAAAACCATGAAGCCCTGGCCAGAGCCTCACTACAACCCCCAAAGCACTGCAGGGATTATTACATGGCCATTTTAGTTCAATACTCATGAACTAGTGTTACGACTTTAGAATTTCTATTGATTTTAAATAACAGATCCTCTGCTCCTTTATAACATTTCATGGTAGATTTTTTTTTTAAGATCATGCTTCCTTCCATCAAAGACATTGTGGACGAGAATGTAGAGTTTCAGGCTCTCACAATGGCTTATGTAACATGCTTATCATAAAGCTCATCAAGGCAGGCTTTTGTGGCTGTCTAGAGTTGTGTTACTCTAAGTCACTGTATGTTTTTAGCTCAAAGAATTTCTCAGGTAGCACAGTTGGCTGGATTCCCATAATTGCTATTTGTTAAAACATGGGAGATGCAAATGGTTGTATTAGAGGTTGTTCTGCTTGAATGCTTGTTCCTCTCTACGAATTGAGGAGGCGACACTGGCATAGCACCAAACTGCTTACCTATTCAAGGTGCTCACACTCTGAAATTGCCACCATTGATCTTTAATCCATTGAACATCAACATTCGGGTCTTGGTTATCAGAAATATTGTCTCACTCCATAAACATTGCCTTGGCATTTGAAGCAAAATTAATTTTGGCCCTTTCACAGATGAGCCTCAGATCTGGCTGCAACAGGGCTCCCTCTGGAGGTCAGCAGAGTCCAAGGTCAGTTAGCAAAATAGCCTTGGCCTCAGCACAAAATAAACCCATGTCTTCAGAATGGGGTCTTGTGTTAGTGAGCTCAGGAAATGCTTATCTGTGTCTGAAGTTGTAGGAAAGTTACCTGATTATTCTCCTATGGATTGCTATGTGCTGGTATTTAATCTCTGTAGCTGTACATTTTTTCTGTCTTTATAGCCAAAGTGAAAACAAGACAAAATAAAACCAAAGGGCAGAAAAATGCAGAGTTTTATTTTGTTTGTTTTAAGTGGCAAGGAAACTGGAGTACGGTGGTTCTGGTTCCATAATGTCCACCATCTGGGTAGGATCAAATGATCCTATAGAATCTGAATTCCACCTAAAAATGTTTGAAGTACATGGGCATGAGGTCAATGGGTTTGCAGCAGAACTGAACTCTTTGAAGGTAAACACTCATTAACTGGGATCATTTCCAAAATAAAGCAAATTAACTTGCACCAGACCAAACTTTTGTTACTTGATATGAATTTACATTCACAGGAATAAAGTAATCACCGAACTATGTTTTTCCCTCCCTA